ATAAAACTCCAAAGGATTTATTCCATGCAGCTGTTGTTGCCTGAAACAAGCATAAGCAAGATAGGGAAAAGGGTGCCAAAAATCAAGTGCTAAGCTTAGAGACACCTGGGGCAGGGCAGGAAATAGTAAAAGCATATCAAGGTAACAGATGCCAAGGTAGAATGGCAGAGAACATTAGCAGGGGAGAGAAGCACACTCGGCCTTACTCTTTCAGAAGTTTCCCTCAGGTTAGTTGCTTTCCATGCCAGAAACTTTTCTTTCCACCTGTTTGGCATTTGTTAGCCCACTTGCACATACTTTTGTACATGAACTTACAGTATTATTTGCCGTCTCTGAAAGGCAAACACTTGTGGCACCCATTATTGTCTGGTGCAGGGAGTCCTTCTGTCTCCCAAGGTTATTTTTTAATGCCTTACATGCATAATATACCATGACACAGAGTTTAAGCAACCTCCCTTTCTTGTGAAATGAGCAGTTAGAATGATTTGAAAGGGCTTTTGCTTCTGTAACAATACTTGTATAATACTTTAGTACTTTTTAAACTTGTCTTCAAAAAGTAACGTGTGTATTGCGGTCTGGTTGCACAACCTCCTGTGCAGTAAGAGGAGAACACTAAAACTGTTTGCACAACACATTGCAGTCAATGTTTAAGTAATGCAAAAAGCTTACTTAAAAAGGGCTTTGTCATTTCAAAATCTGGAATGCTTTGCTAAGATTGTTAATGCTATTTTATTTACTTTATCTGCCCCTAAGATTCATGCCAGCTTTTTTAGTTTTCTAGAAGAGAGTGATACTTTCTTAGTTTATATTCTTCGCTGTGTTATTATTCAAGAGATTTTCAGACAGAAAAAGCTAACTGGCTACATATGAGGAATAATAAAACAGTAACTCAAATAATTATAGAATTTATGAAAAATAAAGCAGGAAACTGTTTTCTGTAATCTCTGTTCTACTGTAACCTCTGAGGGGGTGTACATATACCTCTCTGGTGATTGAATAACACTGGCTGTAATAGTTACAGCAAAAGCAGAAGAGGGAAAACTACTGCAAACAGAGCAGGTCTGGGACAAGAACTGATGTCTTTTGTGTCCTCAGTTCCTGGAGATGTCAGCTGACAAAGCCTGTGACTGATCAGTCTAAGCCTCTCAATCACCCCATGCTCCAGCTTTTGAACATCTGCCAACAGTTGCCATACCGTGTTAAACTGCATAATGTCCTAGCAATGGATGAAAGTTTGTTGTTTCCATCCCCAGTTTGTTTTCCATTAGCTAGTTCATTTGGTCATTGTGGGACCTTTACTGATGCAAGAAGATGCCTGTCCACCAGCCTGCCCATGCTGGTAACTACCTACTGTCTACAAGTTAATGGTGGGAGACAAACCACTAGGGATAGTTCTAAGCATGTGAGTTGCACCTATCTCCTCTGGATGAGTTACAGTATGTTACAGCAGCACCATGTCTGAGCTGCTGGGTTAATCTTGAATGTAAATTTTGGAGAAAGTACTAGCTCAAGTTTAGACTTTCACATTCCCATCTAGGTGTATCCTCTGACCACCTAAAGTCACAGGCATTAGGCAAAATTGCAACCACTGGGCACAGCTGGGTCCAGCTAAACCACCAGTGCCCTTGGGAATATCAAAGTATTTTCAGAGAAAGGAAAGCATCAGGGAATGGCAGACAGAGTTCCACTGAACAAAACTTCAAAGCATTTATTTATGTTTTCTCCTGTAATTAAGCTCAATATTTCTAAGCTTTTCCAGGGATACAAAGCCTACCACTTTTGTTATTGCAGCCTTTGGCACTCCTGGTAGAAGTAAATTACCTGGAGGAGGAGGAGGAGAAGGAGGAGGAGGAGTAAAATCCCTGGAGCACAGGCTAAACTTTCCAGAGGCCTTGCATGTATTTTACTACTCAAGGATACTTGTCTGAATAAAAAGAAGATCCACCACAGAGCACAAAATAACAAGCCTTAAATTTAAAGTTTCATAGGCTTTTGGTTTATGTTTTAGCCAAGCTGCCTTTCCTTTAAAGTGTCCATCTGCAGGGTTATAAATGATAGTGAGAAAGCCTCTGCTTAGGTTTATTTTGTGTTAGAAAGAACAGTTGGCCATCTGCTGGGTAAAAAGAAGGCTGTGCTTAGGTGCATTTGGAAGCAAAGGTCACAAACAGCACATTCTAGTCCTTTGCCAATGACACGTTTAGGCTGGGTCAGATCAGGAAATGCCTTGTTAATCCACCCTGCTTAGTTTACCAGCTCTCCTTAGATTAGAACTCAGTATTGTGCAATTTCAAATGGCTTTCACATAGAGATGCTGTCTATGTAAGATTTTTGCTGTCCCCATATGTGGTAGGTCAAATGAGATGATGTCACCAGGTCTCAGGGTACAGCTTCAGCCTCTGTGTTCCAGGATATGAGGCAGGGATGTCTGCAGTAGGTGAGGACTCTAGGACCCACTGCTGACCCTGTCTGGCCTATGCTGGGACTACCTGCAGGATTTGCAGGGCTGAGGACACTGCAACAAAACTTGCTACAGAGGCACTGAATAGAATCAGCTCATCACAGGTCAGCACTCCAGAAGTCTGAGAGATGCTTGAGCAGCTGGGCTGCTGCCTCTGGAGTCTTGCTCCATCACTTAGTACATTTTGAAGAGTCCTAGGAGCAAGTACAAGGTAAGATGGAGTGAGATATAAAGGGTTGACAGGGCAAAAAAATAAAAAATCAGAAATATTTTCTTTTAATCCAGTCAAAACATAACTGACTGAAAACTCAAGATTGACAAGGCTCAAGTGTGACTGTTTTAACACAGCCAACAGTGCCATACAAGTCAAGTAAGAGCTACGGAATGCAGGAGCACTTGGCAATTCTGGGATACATGTTATCACCAGGAAAATTAATCTCAGGCAAATAATTTTCCCTTTTTAATTTTTAATGCTTTTTAGAAGCTGGTTAGAAGCTGCAATGAAGTCTGTTTAGAACTATAACAAAATGTTTAGAAAATACTCGGCTGATATATAAATATACACTTTAGTTGACTACAAAATAATTGCTAAAAAGCTTTCTGTAAAAGCCACTGAAGATCCAAACCCAGTGCTTTCTGCTCTGAGAGTTGGAGAGTTTGAATGATGTACTGAGTAATAAATGAGGAGTTTAAACAACTTACTGGGGGAATAAGACAGAAATGATCTCTAGCCATTTAAGGAAAAATTCAAACACAGGAGAAAAACTCAAATTAGGGACTCAAAACCAGGCATTTTAGCTCTGTCTTTCTTACTTTCCTGTGTACCAGGAGTCTCATCCTCTCCATTCCAGCTGAAAGTTGGTATTCTAATAGGAGTAAGGCAGTTTTAATGCTCTTGGCCTGAGCTGCCTTGTACCAAAATGTCCAAGGTAAGTGCTACCATTGTCACAGCAAGACAATTGTCCTGACAATCCCTCTGCTGAATTTATTATCGTGGGTTTATTCTTCCTTCAGTCACAAGGTTGTACTATTTTCCTTAACTGCCCTCTTAAAACTAATGCATACACTGGCCAGGAGGGAGTGCTCTAGCAGGGGAGCCAACACTATTATCCCAAAGTCTTGATGTTCCAGCAAGCTTGGGAATGATTGCCCTGAGGTTTCTCACCAAGCTGCTTTCAGCTCACAAGAGCATGAGGAATCACTCAGTACCTCTTTTTATGCCTAGTCATTAGGTATATTTACAGTAGTACTTTCTCCATCAAAGCCTGGCACTGCTTTCTTTGCCCTCACTTTCTATTTTACAACTGTTCTTTTGCCTCTAAACTTCCAGTGCCGCAGTGCCGAGGAGCCATGAACACAAGGACAGCTTGTTTTTTCACTTCTCAACACACAAAGAATGTTGTGTTAAACAGAAAATAAATTCTGTTTCTCTCTCATTTGAAAATGCCTACCTTCCTCAGTGACATCATTGCATGTAATGGAGCAGTAAGCTGGTCCCCTATCAAACAAAGCAAGCAGCAGAGATTAATTATCTCACAAATATTTTGGAGAATCAAGCAGTTCACCCATTTGTGCTGCTCCATTTCCCGTGTTTTCAGCTGAAAGAGCAGGCTGCTGTCTAAATTGATGGCATCCTTTTCAGCTGAGACCAGCTTAATCTATTTTGTGTTCTTCAAAAAAGGAGCTGCCTTTGTTGTCCCTTTTATGCACCACATTTCTCTATTGAAACAAAGCACTGGTGAACAGCATTGGCCTGACAGTGCCCGGGACTGGAGTCCTCAGGTCTGGCAAGGCAGCAGCAGTAGGAGCATTTAAGGTGTCCTGCTGGTGCAAATTCCACAGGATAAACTGATGCCAGTTTTTAGTTGTATATACTTAATTAAACTTGTACAAGGAGAAAATCAAATATGCAGATGAATTCAAATCACATCATCATCAGGAAGGAAACAACATTTTAAAAAGTCAAAATCAACAAATAACCAGTATTTCTGAAAATGAAAAGGAGAGAGACTGCCAGGCTGCCTGCTAGTGACTCCCACTATTCAGTCTGCTCTAGCAGTGCTTGCTTACTTATAGGCAAGGCTGCTTTTTAGTGGTTCCTATGCATGACTGTCCACTTCACCCTTCTCCGGGAGGGTCTCTCCTCACAAAGACAGTTTAGCTGCCTCTGGAGCAGCTGCTGAACTGCTCCAGTTTACAGCCTTGCATATTCAGATAAATTGCCACTCATTTCTCTTAATATACTGTGCTGTAATTTGAAAAATGCTGAAAATTAACCCTTTTTACCAGCATTTCTCGTGCTAAAACTGTGTTTTAAAAACTGCAACAGATTTGCATCTGAGCAGAAATATTGCTTTTACTCTTACAAATATTCTGTTCAGCTGTCTCTGACTGCCCCAGCCTAAATTAGAGTTGAATCAACATTTGTTTTGTTTCACATAATGACAGAATTAGCTACATTTGTTCAAACTTCCCTGATTTACTACCTGATCTCATTATTTAGACTTCAGTATGTCTCTTCCTTCTGTTTTTTCTTTCTCAGATGGGGTGAAGCTGAAGAACTCAGATTCAGTTCCAAGGAAAAGGAGAATGAGGTATGTCAGCTGCGTGCTTCTGCCCCAAACAAAATGCAAATAGTATAGTACTGGCATAATGATAATTTGTCTGCATGTAAGCTATTAAATCACTCCCTTTCTGCTGTGGCTGGCCACCAGTGCGACACCACACGGTGGATGGTGCTTACCAGCCTGTGGTTAAATTCCCTGTTCACAGCTCTGTGACTGGTTCCTCTTTTGCTGACTGTGATTTCCTCCTTCCTGTTTCTCCATTCCTTGAAGAACAGCAGAGGTACAATACAAATATGGTACAAGGACAGAGAACATCTTATGTTCATGGCATTGGCAGTCTCCTGTTGAAGCTTTCTGTGGCACAAGCTCAAAAAAGCCACTGCTGAATGTTCAGTTTGCCTCCATTGTGTGCCATGTAATTGGGTGCTCAATCCCCCCTTGGCACAGCACAGGAAGAGACTATTAAATGTCTAATATCACCATGTGTTTTTGTTTACAATCTGCCTGATTCTCATCTAATCTTTTCTCATCATCTTTGAATGTATTCTTGAGGGTCTTCATTCTGAAAAATGAATTATGTTTGTCCACTCTAGCTTTTCGAAGCTGTTCAGGTTACCTTATTGACTGAAAGCTGAAATAGTTGATCATCTTTTATACTTTCTCTCTTTAACAGGGCAGAGCTGACTACCATGTTCAAAAACTTCTGCAGTTTTTGTGTGTTTAAAGAGAGAACATGCTGCCCACTAACCTTTTCCATATAAAAAAGGTCAGCTTCAAGTTGGAGATCTCTAAATAGGAGGTTTCAGTCGTGATCCATACTCTGAAGGCTTTTATCATCTTTTTCCTAGTTTCACTCCTATCCTTGTGTAATCTTTCAAATCCAGGCTGATCCCTGCCAATGGCTTGAGGTCCTGCAGGTTTCTTCCTAGCTCTAAGACCTGGGCCTTTCTTCTTCTGTGGCATGGCACTGAGGCTGCCTATAAGATGAGCTCATAAGCTGGTAGTGTATGGATGAACTGGTGAATGGATGCAGTGCCTTTTCCCCATGGTCTGGCGCTATAAAAATGGCACAATGCCTAAGTAGGCCTTAGAGAAATTGGCTACTTCAGAAAAACATCTTGGCCCACTCAAATATCAACAAAACTCCTCCCAGAGCATGAATTACTTGGCGTTGAATGACATGTTCGTGAATATGTGTAGGCTTTCTTTTTTTTTTTTATCCTCTGGTGAAAAAATGACTAATGCAAAGGTTATTGAAAGGGCTTATGCCTTCCTCCCCTTTTGTTGCCTAAACAGCTGCTTGTGAGTTCATGATTCAGCTGTGGATGTCCCACACCCATCCTTTACCCAGGGTAGCCAAAACCCCACCTCTTCTGTAGGTGGGGTTTTTGTTCAGGGGTACAGAGCAAAAAGGTGTGCTAATACATTAGTGTCAATCACATCTGAATAGCAGCTGAACTGGAGAAAGCAAGGACATCTGAAACACCCCTTATTCAAGCAGGTGTTTCCTTCTGTTTAAACCTTGCAACTCAATGAAGAGTCTTGAAAAAAATAGTTTCTACTTTTCCATTTTTCAAGGAAGCAAAGGATTTTTTATGTTCATTTTCTCAGCTGCTAGTCATATAATACTGTTCTTCTGTTGCCCTCAGAAGCAGTGAGGTGAAGCAAGAATTATAACTCAAAGCTGTGCTACTATAAAGTGAAAAATAAACAAAAAAAACCCCACAACTTTTTTTCTGCTACTTACTCAGTAAAGAAAAAGCACAGGTGTTTACTACAGCACTGCAATTCCTGCCAGCTTCTGCTGGAACTGGGAACTTTCTCATGTTTCAATAAAATTTCTTTGAAATGTTTCAAAATTCTTTTTACAGTTTAAGCTGAACACAGTATTCTACCTTCTCTTCTAGATGCATGTATGGTTGCTATTTCAGCCGCTTATAAGTTGCTGTATCCCATCAATTAATTTTCCACATCTGATACCTACATCTCAAGGGCTCTCATGCTACATTAGGTAATTCTCAGAATCTGTTGCAGAACTTCATTCAAGGCAAGAAGATTTATCAGAAGAGTCTTTTCTTTCCACAACCTGTGTACGGGTTGCCCAAGAGTGTAGTGTTTGTCTTGAGCAGAAAGTTCCCTCTGTAGTCTCCCATGGAACCAATGCATAATAGAGCTCTGAGACACTTTGTCATGAAGACCTCTCTGAAAGTTTAAAGTACTTTGACCACTTTATTTTGTATTACACTGTAAACTGTCTTTAAACTAATATGCCAGTGTTAAGAATTCTGGAAATTAGTGTCTTTGACATGAGGAGTATTACATTGATCTGGCATCTCACTCATTCTCGCAGATGCACTTGGGTATGTGGGAAGGACAGCTCATGGAACAACGAATGCTGCTGCTCTGGCTCAACAATGTGTAGACTACTTCCAACTACCACCTTATAGATCTGCTGCTAATTTTACTGACATCATCTAGTTCTCTTTGGTGTCACAACCATATTACTTTTAAAATTGTGTTTCCTAAGTTTTCTTCTCAGCACTCTTACTTATCAGATAGGCTTTATATGATTAAATTAGACATATTTTTTGAAAATATGCCAGTGGTTCACTTCAGGAGAGTGAGAAACAGCAACCTCACAATCCAAGAGCACACTATGTTACTGCTGCTTTTTGTGAAGATTGCCATCATTCCAAGGGAGCCAGGAATTGCATGCAGAGCACTGATAGGAACTCAGCATTCTTACTGTAAGAAAAGACCCCTCTTGCGCAAAAACAAGGTGTCACCTTTGCTTTGCGTAAGACAAGGGCTCTCTATGGTTTCCAAACCATACCACCATGTCTCTACCATTCCGAGTTAAATCTCCACCCACACACATACCTGAAAATTAATTGGGAACTTTTTTGAAATTAAGTTGTGAGGTGGTGACAAATATTGCTTATCAGATATTAGTTGAATTCAATTTTTCACTGGGAATCTCTATGACTAGGATCAAATAAATGAGCAATGGTCTCGTCATTGTTCCGTACAAGTGATTGTGATACAAAGAAACATTTTAGGAAAATCTGAAGCCCAGTTTAGCAGATTTAGTATTTATTTGCCAGCATTCAGCAATGGGGAAAGTTTTAGATAACTGTGACTTAAAGTCCCCCCAGCTATATGCAGAACTTCAGTAAACAGTGTGAATGGAAACTCAGCCGAGATCCGTGTTTGTTCCCTGCAGACTGCCTCCACAGCATCAGACAGCTAAATGTGGATATGCATCAGTTAATCCAGAAAGTTGTATACAAATGATTCACAGGGGGCAAATTTAACTCCATAACCAAACTAACAAACTGCCAGAACAGCTGTTTATGTTGTAGTAATACCAAAAACCTAACCTAAGGCTGAGATCCCATTGCAACTAGTGCAATCACTGCCCTAGGAAAATTACAAGCTATTTTCTAGTCAAAGTATACAAAGGGCATAAAATCAATTAACGATAGTGAGAATAAAAGCAAAATAAACAGTAATAACACCTGGGTGGCTTTTATGTACTGCTTTTTATCAGTAGGCCTTACAGAGGTTGGTCCTACATTGTCACACAGTCCTTAGTGTATTTTCAGACCAGTCTCTCCAGGGAGATACTGTTATCCTTGGTTTATATATGGGGAGCTATGACTCCAGGAAGCACCAATATTGCACACAAGGTAGGGAACTGAACCAAAGTCTCACTGCTTGTGCACTCCATACTGCTCCCTGGAGAACTTCCTGCTGGTTGCCTAGTGAATGGAAAGGTATCACGTTGAAGTATCATGGGAGAAATAGGTCTCTAAGCAAGGTTCAAAAGAGGGTAAGAGCTTTATGAATTTTCATGTGATTTTATTTCATATACATAACAGATGTATGAGGAAGGAATGAACAAATAAATCAGCAATTATTGACAAAATGTCATTATGAAAATATCAGTCATCACATAGATACTAGCATTCCATTCAAGACTTCCAAAAAGCTGGCCGGTGCCAGTCAGCTGCAAAAGCTGATCATGAAAGTAGGTCCTGTGTGACAACTGAGTAGGGGGAGTTCACCAGCGGGACCTACTTCATGTCACAGAGAAAAAGGTGGAATTAATCTGAGGTCATCTAGCCCACCTCCGTGCCCTGAGCTGAACTGCTTATAATGATATAATTTCTGATAGATGTATGTTGTCTGTTCTTAATGCTTTCTAACTTGGCCTCTACTTAGGCAGACTACAACAGTTTTTCATTTTCACTGCCTTTAGAAAGCAGTCTAATGCTAATACTGAAGTTACATCTGGTAGTTTGAGCTCATTATTTCTTGCCAACCTAGCTGGGACATGAAGGGCAGATTGATTGCTTCCTTTCACTTCATAGCAGTCTTTTACATATTTGAAGACTGATAACCTATCTTCCTTAGTCTTTTATAAGGGACTCAGTTTGTTCAGCCTTTTTTCATTCCCTGATAGAAAAAAAAAACCCCTCTTATCATCTGTTCTCCTCTAAATTTTTTCCAGTTCCCACATCTGTTCCTGAGTGGAAATCTAAAGCACTCTGATGCACGAAGGCAAATTCCTAGAAGCAGACAGCACCCGAGGCTGGCATGAAATCTGCACCTCCCCTTAAATCTCAATTCTTTTCCCTCTTCAAAGGTGAATCCCAGATGTTCCCACAGGGCCCAAATACAGTCAGGATTGAGTTTTTGACAGGATTGACCCAGTGATGGCTATCCCAGATACAGAAGGGGTATATTCCCAGCAGTCAGTCAGCATTCATTTCATGGCATGGGTTTATTGGGGGAAGCAGATCATCGGGAGCCTGGAGCATCCCTTCTAGGACTCCATGGCGTGGGAATGGCAAGTTATATAGGCAGAGACACTTGGCTCAGCAGCCTTGCACTCACCAGGGCCTTCTGCCCCTGTCAACAGCTACGATAAAATCTTAACTCCTATTAGGATTATCTGCCACCTCACCGACCTATTTCTTAAGTAACCCACCTATGTTATTGCCATTAATTAGCATTTCATCATT